CGGTAATTTAGTTTATAGGATTAAAAATCATGATTTTTATAATTTTTAGAGGGTGTGATAATTCCCACATTTATAATATATATTAATAAGTTTTATCATGTTTACTATAAGAAAAAAGAATGATTTAATTCATTTTTATATCAATTTTTTAATTTATTCTATTCTATTTCTTTTTAGTAACCAAACATGGCTTTAGAGATTCCTAAAACTCATTTGAAGATTTCATAAATCTACCATGAATCTTCTTCACTATAACAATAAAGTATCTACGCCATCAAGAATGTAAGTGGCCAAAACGGAATAGATGATATACAAGTGTGGGGGACCACCAATATACCTCAGGGAAGTTTATATAAACAACTCGAAATTTAATGAATAAAAACAAAATTCAACAAACCAATATGATGTGATCAAGAAAAATGAAACCATTTCACAATCTTGGTCAAAAAAAAAAAAATCACAATTAAACAAAAGCTTCATATGGTGGGCCACAATACACGTGTACACTGTTTACATATTTATCTTCTTTCGAAAACAAACACATCAGCTAATAATTTGACCCAAATAAAAAAAAAAAAACACGCACCAACCAATAAGCGTTTAATTAGTTCTAATAGCGAAGTTACTCTCTCCAAAGCAAAATATATAGAGCACCGTTAATTAATTTGTGATTTTCAAAAAAATATTACTAGTTGAAATCTTTATTTCTTTAAAAATTTGTATATTTTTAATTTTAATCTCATTAAATATTCTATGTAAATATTTGGATAATGATAATTAAAAATTTTAATACATTAATTTTTTTAGAAGGAGTAATAAATGAAATAGGGGTATAATTGAAAAAAATTATAAAAATCATCTAATGCCCCATAATTTGAACTAAGTAAGGCTTTTAGAAAATGCCCTATATTTTGATTCAGAGGGAGCATATACTAGCTTAACCAAAGCTCTTAAATTCTAGTGAGAATATAATAGTATTTTTAGTAGAGCTTCTGTTAGCTAAAAGAATCGTCCCAACCCGACTCAATTTGAACAAGTCAAGTTTTTTAGTTCTAGACACTGGATGTTTTAGCATCAAGGAAAAAAAGACACACACCACGCAAGCTTTTTCATTTACCAATGAAAACGATTATCAGTTCAGCATTTTTTTTTTGGGCCTTTCTCAACTCTTGGTGCTGCTGACTAGGATGTCACGCAAGCAAGGTTCGAAAGAGTTAACACCATTTGTGACACATAAGCTTAGTCTACTTTGATTCACTAATTGTAAGAATGTAATTTTTAAACATAGGAAGTCTTAAGGACTAAGAGTCAAGCTTGAGAGTCATAGTATAACTGATTTGAAAGTTAAAGGATAATGATGTTTAAAATATAATGTATCCTTGTCCTAATCAACAATGAATTACCCTTGTTTTACGTTTAATGGAAATAAACTTGAAAAAAAAAGGTAAAAAGAATTGGAACAAAAATTATGTTTGGGGTGTGTGTATACATATATTAGAAAAAATAAACGGAATCTTGAAGGTATTTTTTCTTATATATGTACCAAATTGATTTTAAAATATGCAATTAAAAAAAAAACAATATTGAACCATTTGTTGAGTACTCTAAGTTTCAGAGGCCAAGTCTTTCTGATTCAATTTCATCATCAGCCATCTCCTGATACGAATTCCTGGATTGTACTGTTTATGCTTCTTTTCAAATTACTTTTATGATAACTAATCTTAAGCATCCATATATATATATACATACATACATACATATATATATATATATATATATATATATATGCTTCCAATTAAATTTCATCTAGTGCCACAGATCTTATATCATTGAATAATATGTAGCAGCATCAATAGTTTTTCTCATGAGTGAGGACATCCACATCCTTGTTTGTGTTGAATAGGCAATCCAACACAAAAGTACCTAAACTTTTAGTCCTTAAACTTTATTTTAATTAATTATTAATTTAGTTCTTGAATTTTGACATGGTACTTAAATTTTGTAATTTATTGAGTTACAGAATTATAGGAATTAAATTATGCAGAGTTAAAAAGCTATTAGAACTATGTTGTTCCTTAGATAGTGAAAAAAAAAAAACTATAAGGATTGAATTGTTTAGAGTTAGAATTCAAGGACCAAATGACAATTAAGAATAAGTTTAGGGACTTAAAATTATATTTTTCTTTTCTTTTCTTTTTTTTTAAAGTACTGATATGCAATGAAGGAATATGTGAGGTCAAGATATGAAGAGATGCGACCTCAAAGATCAGTTGAGAAATGCCATGCACATGATCAGGTGAGAAATGCCATGCACATTGAATAGCTATTCAAAAGAACAAAGAGTGGAATTTGATTCTCAAGTAAAGCCAAATCATTCTCTATTAGTCTGCTTCCATGAGGCTTATGAAAGTTTTGCATCGTTGTTTATTTCCTGCTCCAGGCAATAGAACCTCTTGATCGAAGATCTCAATGACGAAAAAATCAACATCCACACTAATTTTTGTTTCATCACAAGTTCATTCTCTGTAATATAATTAACTTTGATGTTCTCTTAGTAAGATGCACCAATATGATCACCTGTTCAGAAAATAACAAGAACGATGCAAAACAATATCAATTAACTATCGAACAAGATGAAAGACTATGGAGGAAAGCCGTGAAATTTCAAACCACTTTGAGGTCATACAAATGAGGTGAGGACCTATGTTAACCCCTCTCTTGAGATAGGATACAATCTTCCTAACCTTTAACACTTTGCGGCATCCTTTATATAGAACTTAATTAGGTAGTGCAGATAATTTGGACCATTCTAAATAAGCGTGAAAAATATTAGGAGCGAGTTTGGGAGTTCAAAAAAATTTATTTATTTCAGGCTTATCAAGGCCACTCAAATAAGCTCAAAGAAATTTGAGTTTGAATACCCAAATTCTTTATTTTATTATTAATAAAATAAAATTAAAATAAGGTAAAAATTTAAAATCTTAATTTTTAAGATAAAAATTGAAATTGGTTAAAAAATAAAAAATAATTAATTAATATTTAATAATTTGGGTATTCAAGCTAGTCCGAATGAGCTTGAGGGTCGAGATGTTATATGAGATTTTGGTTATATGTTCAGGTATTTTAAATTTAATTTGAATAAGTTTAGCTTAAATAAGCTCGTTTCATTTAAATTATCGACTCTAAACTTTTGGGTCATCAACAAACTAAAGTGATTAACACTAATTGCACATTAATGCTCTAATATATTCCAATGTTATCTTTTGCCTCCAAGACTGACCCGATTGTCCAAACTTGTCTTAAATAGCTTCTTGCGCTAAAGCTTTTAAAATATATTTGTTTGTGCCTTTCCATGTCTTTTAGCCTCTCATCACCATAATGACAGGGGCCAATCGAAATGTCTTTATGGAGTGTAAGCGTCATCTAAATACAACACTGCGGTAATATGAGATCATCTTTGCCATCTTTTTTTTTTTTGGAGTGAAAGAGGAATAACATTAACAAAAATTTATAAGTACAACAAACTAGCAGTCAACGGATTAGGCTTCATGATCCAATGAATTAGTCAGGTCATGGGCCTTAACAATAGAAAAAACTAAATCACAAGCAGATCTAACAATATCTTGAGGAATTTGAGGCTCATCATTGAAAATCCTGTCATTCCCATTAGTCCAAAGTTTCCATCCCTGATGCCGAAGAGATGTCTCCAATGAGTGCTCATGGTTCGTGGATTGAGATTCAAGCGTAACCATTCTTCAAGTGGTTTACTAAAGAAGGCAGCGGTGGTATGTTGCAGGACAACCATTAATCAGCAAAGCTTAGCTTGGGGACATCTACACAAGACGTGGTCAATATCTTCAACATCTTTGCCATCTTTAATAATTGCTTTATTCCATCTATCAGATTTTGATTTTGGAAGCGATCAATAATTACATAAGCAATCTTAAAATTAAGTAGTAACGAAAGGAAAAATTATGTCAAGAAATTAATCCTTTCCAACCGAGCAAAAGAAATGGATATGCCTGCTTTTTATTTGAAATAATTGGAAGACTAACTAATGTGATTAACACTAATTACACATTAATACTGTAATATATTCCAATGAAATCTTTTGCCTCCAAATGTGTATCTTCCAAGACTGACCAGATTGTCCAAACTTGTCTTAGTTAGCTTCTTGTACTAAAGCTTTTAAAATATATTTGTTTGTACCTTTCCATGTCTTTTAGCCTCTCATCACCATAATGACTGGGGCCGATCAAAATGGCTTTGTGGAGTGTAAACATTAGGGTAATATGAGATCATCTTTTCCATCTTCATTAATTGCTTTATTCCATATATCAGGTTGTGATTTTGAAAGCAATCAGTAATGACATAAGCAATCTTAAAATTAAGTAGTAACGAAAGGAAAAATTATGTCAGGAAATTAATACTTCCCAACCAAACAAAGAAACTGAATGTGCGTGATTTTTGTTTGAAATGATTGGATGACAGGTAAATATAAAAAAATGTGAAATTTTAAACGTCATTAACTAATTTATTGAAAAGTATATATTAGTTAAAAATATCTTTTAATTCTTAATAGAAGGAATAGATTAAGACAAGGGTGAAGATAGGGAGACCAAAAAGGCCACGGCCCTCCCTAAGGTAGCTTTGAGTGGCTATTATTTTGTTGAATGAGAAATGTTGTATTGGGCCAGCTAGCCAGGCTCAAGCCCATGGTCTTGCTTCATTGAACAAAGTTTAGTTTATTCTCTTTTACATTAAGCATGTGTATGCATAAAAAAAAAAAAAAAACTTGAATAAGATTGTTGAGTTTCTCCTGATCTCGTTACTAACCTGTCTTTCCACTTCATTTCAGCAGTCATCTTCCATTAAATCTCAATATGTAGTTTTCCTTGAAATTGTGTTTCTACTTTTAATACATGTGGAGTAACATTGCACTACTCTTAACTTAAGGATAACCAACATATTTGAAAAAAAAAATTGAGAGACATGACAAATTAACACTTTAACCATATTATTAATCACATCTCAGAGTTATTACAAGTCTGATGATACACATGATAATCAAATTTCAAAATTATACAATGTTTTAAATCAATCTTCTATATATGCTACTTGAAGGATAGAACAAATGGTTTGAACAAGAGTGAGAATGAGGAGTACAATTACAGCAATAGAAGCAACAATTTGCCAAGGTGTACGACAATAATCGCGTCTCAAAGTTGCCTTCATCTTGTTCCTAGGATCTTGACAAAAGCCATTCAACCTTTTGCAGATATCAAGGTACTCAGAGTTGAAATTCAAATGAATCACATTTTTACAAAGACCATTAAACAACATAGCAACTTCATTGGAATCAACCATAATGTTGTTGACTATGTTGTTGTGAATGAGGAGATCCATATCTTTATTAGTGTTGATTAGGCAATCCAATACAAGAGCATAGTTAGTAATGTATGAAGCATTAAGATAATGACACTGCTCTAATGCTATCATATTTCGAAACAAAAGTTCAGTTCTATCTTCCACAAGAATTTTTGGAATTTCAAGAATGTGTCCTGAAAACTTCAAATCCAATAAGCACTTGCTCATACTATCCTTGAACTTTATACCTGCTTCTTGCAATGCGCTTGCATTGTATAAAAGGACATGGTTCTCAACCTCTCGAAATGAACTCTCTGGAGGCATTGTTCTTTGTACGTTAAACAATCTAAGAAGATCTGTAAAATGCTTTATCCTAAGATCAAGAGTAGGCTCTAAATTTTGGTGGTTATGAAACTTAAAGAATTCATATGTGAGCACACGAAATTCAGGTAGGTTAGTAATGCTAGGGGATAAAGCTTTATTGAATAGCTCTTCAATAATAAATAATGGAAGTTGATTCTCAAGTAAAAGCAAATCTAAAATCAAAGCATTCACTAACCATTGTTGTGACAATTTGGCATCATTATTGATGATTTTGCCTTCCCGACCCTCATAGAACATGATGAAGAGTTCAATGATGAAGCCAGCATCCATTAATGTGAGTTTCACAAGTCCTTGTTCGGTAAGGTTAATGTGCTCTGAATAAGAAGCACGAACTTTCGGCTCTAATTTTTTTACATGACGAACCAAATCATCCAAGCTCACCATGGTTCTTTGTGTAAATCTTTTGACTCTTTGTGTAAATCTTTTGAACATGATTTGCTTGTGTTTTTCCATCTCCAGGAGCCTCTCATTACCATGATGGAAGGGGCCAATTGAAACAACTTGTGGAGTGTAAGCCTTTGGTTTTAGATCACGGATCGGAGGGGGCACTTTGTAAATACAACATTCTGGTAACAAATTGCCATTTCCACTATCTTGAATCATTGTTTTGATGTCAATAGTCACCTCGTCTTCCACCTATATATATGTATGTATGTATGTATGAACTTTGATTTATAAAGCCAAGCAATTAGAAATTGCACCACACGACAACAATAAGTCTTACCTCATTAAGTAATGTTAACTATATGAATTGTATGATGTCATTATACATCTTATCAACAATAAAAAATTACATGATGCCTGAGGAAAAAATACCTGCTGGCTCAAAGATAAAAGAAGAGATAAGAAAAGAATATGAGAAAATGACATTTGGGTCATTTGTGAGGGAATTATAACACATTGATCCCTTGAAATAATGGTCCTCTTGGGATTGACAATTACTCTCTCCATCCCAAGTTACTCCCTTTAGTCTTATTTATAAAGTAGAGAGAAAATAATTTTTTCATCCTATTTATAAGTCACATCATTAAATTTTTATAATAAATTTTCTTTTTTACCTTCCATTAAATGTTGGAAAGAGAAAATCTTTTATTGAAATGTGCACATTTAATAGGGGTAAAATTGAAAACTTATTAAATTTTGAGATAGAGTTAATGAATTTTAAGGTTTTTCTTGATATTGATGAAACATGTTAGAAATAACTTATAAATATGACCAGAGGAGTATTAGACAATTTGAACAAGATTACACATATCAAGAAAGCTTAATAGTGATGAGAAATTTTTAGACAGACAAAGTGCGCCACACCATTTGTGGTCTATTATTTAATTTAAATGCTTTAATTATCTAAATAAAATCTTATATAATGCTAATCATTTTAATTAATTTTATTCTTATAATTGGTCAAGCGTAATTAGTGACTGATGTATGCAAATGATGTTAACAAATTAAAGCTCCTCAAATGAAGAATTCCTTCTCTTCTAAAAAGGTTCTGCTTTTAAAATTATCCGCCTATTATATATAGATATATGACACTTTACTAGTTAATGAATATGAGCTCCTTCTACATTTTCCTTTCCTTCAAGTTTGAGTTTTTCTTTTTGCCTACACTATGAATGGCAGGCAAATGAAAAGCCTCGACATTTGAAGGGCACAAGGGTCAATTTTTTATTTTTTATTCTAGAATATAATTGTGATTTTTATGATCTTTAGTTAACAATAAATGTTATTTCATATATGTCCTTTAGTATAACCGTTTTTAAAGTTGGATAGATAAATGAAATGGGTCCCATATATGATCTCATACTACAATACTCTATATCACCATAAAATTCCGAGCTATATTAATTCAATGAAGTTTACCTGATACATATAATACCAATATCAAGTGTCAATAAAAAGAAATATAAAACAGAAAAAAAGAGAAGCAAAACTTTCCCTCTGTTTTTTTTTAAATTAAAGGTCGTAAAGAAAAATAGATAGTTTATTTACATAGAGCAAACTCAAGGTACAACCATAAGTTAAATTTCAATAAACAAAAATGAAAAAGGAAAAAGATTAATATTCGAATGCTAACAAGTTGTTTGGAATAGTAGAGAAGAAAGCAAGTTTAAACTAATGAGTTTGCACCAGATATTACGCTGTATCTGGCGTGCTATTAGTGCTTCCTGAAAGCAAGATACTTTTAGAGTTTAATTTGAAATGTTATTTGGAATCTGGAAATTTTCTTGGAAAGAATGAGACATTGAACCTCAGATAATGTGCTAAGTGAATGACTTAACACGTCATACAAGATAGTCTAGCTGTCCAGGGGAAGAGAAAACTCTACAAATAACATGCTAATCAGTGGCGGAGCTAGGACTTTTAGCTAGAGAAGTTAGGATATTATTTAAATATTAATTAATTAATTTTTTGTCAAAATTAATTTTTAATTATATATAAATTACATATCTTATAACAAGAGCTTGACAGTAATTTTTAAAAAATTATTTTAATTCCACGTTACATAAATTTGATTTATATTGTTTAACTGGAGATCATTACTCTTTCAAGCTCTAATGACAATTTCACCATAATGTAAATCATATTTTAAAATGAATATCTTTAATTAATTAAAATGTTAAAGAAACACAAATTTAAAATAATATTAGAACAAAAAATAATATAAAAATAAAATATTAAAAAAAAATTCTCTCCATTACTTTGTTTGCCAAATATCCTCATCTCCTCAATTTCACGTCAATCACTCATGCCAGTGGCTCCATGGATTCGGATCATCTCCCTACTCTCTCTCAATACATTTCTTTATATCCAATCTCAACCATTCATTTAACTATTGTTTTGATTCAATGGCGTGAGATTGCAAATTATAGCATTAAAATACATATAATATTCATTTAATGGTTATCATTAATAAGTATTGTGATCTTATTTTCAAAAATATTTAAGTGATGATAGTAAATAACCTTTTTATTTTAATGCTATAATTAGCAATCTCACACCATTAAACCAAAATAATAGTTAAATGAATGGTAAAAATTGTGTATGGAGAGAAGTATTGAAAGAGAGTATGGAGAGGATTCAAATCCCACATAGATATTAGAGGGTGCAAAATCAAAACATATGGAAGGGCATGATCTAAAACTAATATATAAGCACTTTAGTTTGCAAAATCTTAGGGGGTGCATTTGCCCACCCTTAGAGATATGTAGATCCGCTAGTGATGCTAATTAATTACTTCTTTTGATTTTATTTATAAGACACATTTTAAAAATAATTTTTGGTTCAAAATATATAATACTTTATAATAATTAAACCACATTTTTTCAATTTCACCCCTCTTTGGTTAGTGTGAAGATAGTTAATGTAATTGTATTATTATTTAAAGTTAAGGGTAAAAATAGAAGTAAGTATCACTTTTTTATGATATCAAGAAAAAATTAACTTTTTTAATATACATGAAATGATTAAAAGTGTTTTATAATAAGAATTAGAAAGAATGGAGTGCCTAGCTAGCGTGTGATTTGGTGAACCCGAGTGGAAAACTCAGTTTTTCAAGGGAATTACATGCTAAGTATGAAGGACCTAGCACGCTAATTGAAAGGTCATACAAGAAATTCAAAGTGGATGGCATGCTATCTAGCTGGATAGCGCATTAATTATAATTCATGAGATTACTGACATACTAATTTCGTGGCCAATGCACTTTTTTTTTTTTTTTATAGTGAGAGAATGAGGCACATAAGCTCTGTATGAGATCTGAACTAAGAAACAAAGCAACTTATAGTTGTGCTTTTCTCATTCCATAGCGGGTATGAGGCCTCTAATACCCTCACCTTTCTAATGTCTTAGCTTTTCAATTCGTTTTCTTTTCTTTCAATCATTGATCAAAGAAAATAAATCAAAAAACTACATGATTTTGAAGATATTTTTCTTTAAAAAATCATAGAAAATACAAAACTCCACTAGTTCATCATCATAAGCTATCAAAATATCTCACGTGCATCTTAGGTAGAGTCTAAAAATTGAAAGAAAGAAGAAAAACAATTGAAAGGTTGTAACATTACAAAGAGCGTTATAAAATGAGTAATTATATAGAGGCCCCAAGCTCATAGATATAACATTTATTTACGTATATCCCACATATCTTTTCGATTCATCACAACTAGTAAAAATGAAATGAAATGCTAAAGAATCTATAATACCATACATATATAGGCATCAAACAGTAGCAATCTTACTTGTTGTGGAGGTTGTTGATGAATTTCCTCCAGTTCTTGAGTAATATCCGACATGGTCCTGTCCTGCGACTCCGTTTCCTGGAAAAGAATATGAGAATGTAAGATCTTCTTCACCGAAGCAACTTGGCTGATACTTGAGACTGGAATCTGGGGTCTTTTATAGTTTTTTTCCGCGAAGGAGTTGGCCTCCACACTATTTTTAAGTTCAAAGACATTTAGGACCCTAAACTCATTATTTGTGCAATGTGTCTCTCTAACTTTTGAAAATATTATAGTCTGATATTTACCATTAACAAAAGTAACTTTAACTATTAATTTATTAGAAAATAATAGAAAAGAACGTACAAAATTACATAGAATGATAAAAAAAATTTATAATAAAGGACCCAAAATTTACAAAAATGACCAAGAAAATTTCATTGGTTCCTTTTTGTAATTTTATTGGCCCTTTTTTGTCATTTTCTAGACAAATTATGATCAAAGTTAACTTTTTCAACTGTAAGAGCCACATTACACTATTTTTAAAAATTGGAGGAGCACATTGCACAAATAATAAGTTTAGGGTCCTAAAACCTCCTGGATTTACAATTTGTTCTTTTACCCCAAAAAAATGGACCCTGAAACTTGTTTCATGCTTCAATCCAAGCGAGATCCCGGTTAATAGAAAGAACAAAGTCATTTTCTAACCAACAAAGGTTGGAACAGTTGGCAAGAATTTGACCCAAAACTCATGAGATCAAATTCTATTATCAATATAAGAACTTTGTTGGTGAAAAATTTGTAAGATCTTTGTAAGTATTCTTCGAGCTTTAAGGCACATCCTAACCCCATATGAGCTCTCAAAACTAATTCAACTCAATTATTTTTGTTAAAAAAAAGTCATTCTTCATTGTACAGTAACATGATAAATAACTTTTGTGACTGAAATGCCCTAGCACCTATTTCAAATTTTCTAATGAGACCGATGATCCCTGCTATACTCTCCTTCTCCTCCTCTTCTTTTAATATTCTAAAATTTAGTATTTGTAAATCGTACTCTTAAATTTATATCTGAGTTATGTTGCTTATTATTAACTAAAAAGATTTCGAGCAAAATACTTTGACCACGCTTTCAATTTACCTTAATTACACCCTTTTATTTAAAAAACATACAGCTTAATTAACCCAATCTATTAACTCCATTAGAAATATTCTAAAATAAATTCTATAAACTCATTTTCAAATTATAAATTTAGGAGCCTTAATTACAAACAGCATACTTCAATTTCAAATGTAAATTTCATTTTGCATCAAATCTTTGGATTTTTAACTTTGATCCGCGGTCTTATATCCATCTTCATTGCAATTTCATCAAAGTGTTACTGACATGGAGCATAGAGACAAAGAGAAGGGCTTAAAGTAACCATGTTAATTTCATATTAATGGTAGAACCAGATTGTCACGAGTATGATTGTTTAAGGGTTAAAATACACAGAAAAAGAACAAGTTTGTGATTCAAATCACTCCTGGGCCTATAATGTAGGGTTCATATTACCATTTAACCCTTCTTTCTTTCTGATTTGCTTGACCTTTTTTAGTTTTTTGTCTTTATAAAATTATAGATTTAATTGTACAAATTTTGATCCTACATAAATAAATATCTATTTGGGTTTTGACAACCAACCATATGTAATTAACAACAGCCCATTAAATTATTAAATTTTATTGAACTTTAGGGGTAATTAGATCTTTTCTCCTAACATCTTATTTTTAGATAGGCACCTTGGGGGTGTGGTGAAATTTCAGATTTTTAAGGTCCTTCTTGATGTAAAAACTCTCCAGGCATCCATTGATGATATTTTTCTAAAAATTTATTTACTTAACCTTATATACTTAAGATGTTAGTAAAAAAAAAAAAAACCTTATATACTTAAGATGCTTGTTTTCAATTAGATTAATACATGTAGATCTTTTTTATATATTATTTATTCTCTAACAAATTATTGTTATTAATATTTTTAATACATTAAAATCTAGTTGTTTTAATTTAATTGGACAAAAATATATTAACTATATAAAACTAAGTACACAAGTCTTGCCCTAAAATATATATTTAACAAGGACAAGATTAAGAAATTTTTAAATTTTTAAAAATAATTAATAATTTTTAAAAAAATTAATTTCAATAAAATATATTGGAAGCAACTTATAGAATTCAAATTAATATTAAACAATTTAATTGGATAAAATTTTAATTTATTTTGTTATATAAGAAGTAAGGTATTAATTGGATAAATTTGAGAACTGTTGGTTGGATAAATAGAAAACAGTTTCTCCTTCTCATCCTTATCCTAAGGATTTCATGTTTCTCAATATAATACAGTTTAGCTAAAATACAAATTCTGAAAAAAAAAACAATAGAATTTAAATCAAACAGAGGTGGTCCTGCTCTCTGCAGTTATTAGCATAGAAAAGAAAAGAAAAGAAAAGAACTGAGATTGTGAAATACTCCCTTGGGATCATAATATATTACGTTTTCAAAAGCCTCACTTAATGCTAAATATATGGCATTGTATAGGTTATATATATATATATATATATTTTCAATTTTATACTCACTTCATTATATTTCACTCAAATAATTAATAATATTGTTTTGAATAGATCAAATATTATATTTATTTCACTCAACAATTGGAAAGATGTTAAAAATTGTAGAAAATTAAAATTTTAACTAACTTTTTTAAAAAATATAAATTAATTGATTCCATGTATCGATAATTCAAGCTTACGCTAGTAGACATGTGACAAACATGTGTTTAAATTGAGATGCTGACGTGGTTGAGGTGATCACTTCATGTAGGATGGCGCAGGGATGGAATAAGATAAGGGCGCAGCAAGCCTGGCTTTTCTAAATTCTAATATTACTTTGGGAGAATTTCATATTAGCAACATGGGTGTGACTTAATTAAAAATTAACATGGGTGTGACTTAATTAAAAATTAAGATCAAATAAATTTAAAAATATTTCACAAGATGTTGAAGTGCCTTTAATAGAAATGAAAAGATAAAAGAACTGAATATAAATCATTGCTTAATATGACTCTTTAAATATATAACATGACTTGTTAAATCCTTAAGAATTTACACAATATCTAACAAGAAGCATTTATCAATTTTTTTTCAAATTATTCCTATAAAGTCAATGTTTATTTTCACTAGATAAATTTGTTTCATAAACTATAGGGAAACTTAGTCAAAATTTCTTTATTTCAGGCATAATTATTTTGTTTAACCAGCATTCTGAAATTGGGTGAATTAATTATTTTCTTCTATAATTCAAAACAGGAGTAATTTAATAATTTATAACAAATCATAATAGATGTAATGCAAGTTAGATCATTGACAATAAGCAATGTAATGAACTCATCACGTAACATAATAAAATTAACAAGTAATATATGTAGTACCGCACCTCCTTTATAGAAAGAAGTCATTTTCTTAATATTCATTGCTTAGATAATATGTTCCTTATTGTTGGCATCCCATTAAATGTGGATCAATGTCTTCTTCAACTTTTTAAACGGACCATAATGCACGATTAAACCCGTGAGTTTTACAACTCAATTTTATATAATATTTTTAAATAATTTACAATTCATCTTTAAAAATTTACTACTTGATCATTTTTTATCCTATTCTGTAATTTTAGAGATCATTTTTCTTTTATTTTCTAATCAACAGATAGTTAAAATTAACTTTTATTAATTGATCAGGTTATGCAGTTTTTAAAAGTTGAAAAGAAATATTATATCAAAAATGAGTATAGGATACGAGAAGTTTCTAGATCTATAATTTAAGGGGCCAATTTACTCTTTGACCATTTTCTATTTTACATTTACACCCAAAAATTATAGAAACATAATTTTTTTATAGAAATTATGTTTTATTTTTTTAAAAAAATTAAACCGTGAAACTTTCTTCATACTTCAATTCAAGCTAAGAACCCACTTAGCAGAAAGAACAAAGAAGTCATTTTCGGACATTTATTGGTTAGCTAACATGTTCCTCACTGGGTCATGTTGGATCAAAGTCTTTTTCGTCATCCAAGCCAGTTACATCCACAATGAATTCATATTAGCACCATGGATGTAACTTAATTAAAAATTAAGATCAAATAAATTTAAAAATACATCACAGGCTATTGAGACTGAAATAAAAATAATTTTGTAAGATACATGACTGAAGCACACTTAATATCAATGAAAAGATAAGACAATTGGATGTGCTGAATTATCACGGCTTAACATATGACTTATTAAATTAAATATATAATATGACTTGTTAAATTCCTTAGAATTCACATACTTCTCTGGTCATATTTATAGAACAGAGAAAGAAGGCAAGTTTTGGTATTTAAAGGAAACTTCACTATTTTTTATATTCATTTTTAGCTTTTTATCCATTATTAAATGCTAGGAAAATTATTAAAAATAGTTCTTTTTATCTTTGTTAAGGATAGATGTGGAAAATTATTAAATTTTAAGACAAAGTTAATAAGGTTTAAAGCTTTCTCGTGTACTAGTAAAATATGTTGAAAGTGATTTATAAATACAACCAGAGATAGTAATATATAATAAGAAGCATTTATCACAGTCTTCCCAAATTGACCCCATATATTCAAAGTTTTATTTCCACTAGCCAAATTTGTTTCATTAATTATAGGGACAATTTAGTGCAGATCTTTTAATTTTAGATATAATTATTATACTTAATAACCATTATTAAAGTGTGTAAATTGATTATTTTTTCCTATAAAATAAACTAATAGATGTAGCACAAATAATTTATAACAAGTCATAACTTGCAATAGATGTAACACAAATTAGATTATTAACAAAAAACAATGTAATTAACTCATCAAGTAATGTAACAGAATTAACAAGCAATGTAATACCACACCCGCTTAACAAAAAAAAAAAGTCATTTTCTTTATATTCATTGCTGAGCTAATATGTTCACCACTAGTGGCATTCCATTAAATGAGGATCAAAGTCTTCATCAATTGACACATTGTCTTATCCAAAAATCACATAACTTAAGAAATTTTTTAAATGGATCCTAATGTACGACTAAATCCAGGAAATTTTCAATTCAATTTTATGTAATATTTTTAAAT